TTCATATTTTTTATGAGGAAAATGCCATTCAGAAAAACTAAGTAACTTGCCTTAGTTTACTCAGTTTAAATGTGAACTGCGGGACCATTAATCCAGGTTTTCTAACCTCAAGTTTTAGGCCCTTTTTTTGTATCGACCATTAGTCAAGGTGTTCTTTCACATCTACCTCACTTTATCAGGTCCTCTGGGAAGAGGATAGAGAATAATAGTAATTTAGAGGCATAATTGCACAGATACATAGGTCATTATGAAACTTTTGAGACAGGTTGTGTTATGGTCCATTATTTCACTTCCAAGAAACACAGTCAACAGCATCCTTTCTGATACACCTGTGCCAGTTTCAACTTGCTCAGCTTATCAGTGTTTCTAGAAGGGCTTTGTTTGTTTTCATCCGTGCAGATTTTACATTTCTTGATTTTTGTGTATTTTTTTTTTTTTTTTGAGACGGAGCCTCAAGCTGTCCCCCTGGGTAGAGTGCTATGGCTTCACTGCTCACAGCAACCTCCAACTCCTGGGCTCAAGCAAGTCTCCTGCCTCCTCCTCCCAAGTAGCTGGGACCACAGGCGCCCGCCACAACACCCGACTATTTTTTGGTTGCAGCCATCATTGTTGTTTGGCGGGCCCGGGCTGGATTCGAACCCACCACCTTAGGTGTATGTGGCTGGCGCCTTAGCTGCTTGAGCCACAGGTGCCGAGCCAATTTTTGTGTATTTTTTAATGGCCCTTATACAACTGAAAAAAAAAATTACTTTTTTCACAAGAGGCGGTCACATGATAAGAGATTCTCAAACATTTCTTGACCCCCACATGTTTATTCAGACTCTTGCCTGGGACCTGAATTGTGTAGTTCTCTTTCCTGAATATTAGGTGCTAAGTTAAGACAGCATTTTTAAGGATCCATGGTTGTTATATACATTCTGTCTTCACTCTGCAGCAAAGTAATTCTTGGCTTCCAAGAAGCTGTTTGTGACTTTCTTACTGAGAAAATTAAGGCAAACAAATGATTTATCTACTCCATTGCTTAAGGCATTTTTCATATTTAAAGTAATGTTCAATTAGGAAAGACTTTGATTTTAAAACAAACCATTGTACATATTACAGTAGGTGTCAGAAAGCAATAGGGGGAAAGAGGTGATCTTTTTCTAGTGTGCTTTTTGAAAAACAAATTTACTTAGGGTACCCAGGTTTGCTTTTCTTTCATAGTTTACAAGCAAGTTAAAAGAAAAACCTCAGCAGTTATTCATTGCTGAGGAATCTAGCTGACGTCTTTGGAAAATAATTTGAAGAGCTAGTAGGTTGGCACATGCTGTGCTAGAAGCCTTGAGCTCCCTTTTGCATTCTATAATTTATATGTTGTCCCAGCATGAGGTCGTTTTCATGATTTTTGCTTTTAAATTATGTATATTACAGTGAAATGTACTGATATAAATATAGAAATGACCTATAAAGATTTTTTCTTTTTCCCAAAATTTAACCTTTTAAGACCTCTTTATTCTCCAAGTCATGCTTATCAAAACATATGGCAGAGTTAATACTATCACACTGGATGCACATATTATAGTACATAACCATAATAAGTTTTTGTAGTAAATGTTCCATGTTGATACTTTGAGAAATAAGTGCATTTATTAAGAACTTGACCAAAGGCATAATTAAGTGAAGATGAGAAGTATTAACATGGGACGATTTTTATGCAAAGAAATAGGAAGGAAAAATTGTCCAGGGAGTATATGGCTTAAGTGGTTTTTCTAGTGAAGAACTATGTTGCGATAGCCATAGTCGTCTTGCCTTTTGTAAATGGCCCCCACATATTTGACAGGTATCTTTAGCTTAACGATAGATCTCTAGCTGTGAAACATATGTTTTCTATTAAGCTTAAGTGCTCTCCCTAAGCCCAAACTTATAAGTTAGTTAACTGATACACAGATATATAGTTATTTTGTATGTTGGATTTCTTCAGCATGACCACAGCATCTGAAGAAGCCAGAGAAATTTCTAGCAGTCTCATGCTGACCTAGACAACTCAGAGCACTGAAAACCAAGCTCAGAAACGGCACAACATAGGTAGGGCCAGGTGCTGTGGCTCATGCCTATAATCCTCGCACTCTGGGAGGCTGAGGGGTGAGGGTATTGCTTGAGCTCAGGAGTTTGAGACCAACCTGAATAAGAGCAAGATCCTGTCTCTCCTAAAAATAGAAAAACTAGCTGGGCATCCTGGCAGGCACCTATAGGCCCAGCTACTCAGGAGGCTAAGGCAAGGTGGCTGTGAGCTATGATGCCATGGTACTCTACCCAGGGCACAGAGTAAGACTGTGTCTAAAAAAAAGAAGAAGAAGAAGAAACCACACAACATGATCTTCAAGAGCTATTATTAGAGCCCAAAAGAAAATAATAAGCAAATCCTGAGACTGCACTGTACAAGTTTTTCCTGCTTTCATAGCCTTTTTTCTTTCTGACCTCACAGATAACACTGAGATTTTAATAACCCTTACTCCCTAAGAAGCAGACAGAGATGTTACTCATATGTTCTAGCAATCATTTGTTTACCATTTAGTTTACCTATATTTTCTAGCAAAAATTATTTTATTATTTATTATATATTATTAATTTATATGTCTATACTTGGAAGACCAGCATAGTGTGTTCATTAAAAATAAGATTTCTGGGTAGCACCTATGGCTCAGTGAGTAAGGCACCAGCCCCATATACTAAGGGTGGCGGGTTCAAACTGGGCCCCAGCCAAATTGCAACAAAAAATAGCCAGGCGTTGTGGCTGGCACCTGTGGTCCCAGCTACTAGGGAGGTTGAGGCAAGAGAATCAATTGCCTAAGCCCAAGAGCTGGAGGTTGCTGTGAGCTGTGACACCATAGCACTCTACTGAGGGCAACAAAGTGAGACTCTGTCTCTTAAAAAAAAAAAAAAAATATATATATATATATATATATAAAAGATTTCTGAAGTACCTAGATTCAGATCCCATACTATCTGCTTAACAGTTTTATGACTTAGAGAAATTTACATAACCTCTCTAAGCCTCAATTTCTTTATTCATAAAAGTTGTTGAGGAAATTAGTGAAATGGTATTTATAAACTACTTAACCACTATGCTTCATCTTACCTACTTATTAAATAAGTTACTTTTATCATAACTGTACAGTTGGATTCCCCTATTAGGCATGGAAAAGAGTCATTTATATCCTACATAATCAGATATTAGAGTAAAGTAATAGACTTGACACATTTATTGGCAATTTTTAAAATTATACTTATCAGTCCAGCCAAAGGTGCAGTAAAACGAGCACACACACATGCTCAGGGAAATAAAAAATCTTATGATACACTTTTTGGGAGAGCAGTTTGGCAGTATATACTGATAGCCATAAAAATGCTCGATAGTCTGTAATTCCCTGCCTAGAAATCTCTAAAGAAATAATCAGTGATTCAGACTAAGATTTACATCCACTAGCATTTGATAATAGTGCATGGGGCTTGGGAAAGGGAAGAACTTAAATGTTCGATAACAGGGAATGACTGAATAAAACATGGTATTTTCACATAATTCATGTTCTGCAGCCATTAAGAAACATTTGATGATATGGAAAGTGCTCACAATATAACATTAAGGAAAAAAGATATAAAAATACTCAAATTTTGTATGCGAAGAAATACATCCCTCTTTCCTCTCCCCTTTTTTCCTCCCCTAGAAACAAGAATGTAGAGGAATATATATCAAAGTCTCAGTAGTGTTTATCTTTTGAGTTTGGATTTCAGTTTTTAGTTTATTTGGGAGGATGGGAGAGTTGTGCACTTCCTGTTTTCCGAATTATATATAATAAACAAGTTATTCGGCACACCTATATCCC